GCTGGTGCAGGCGGGTAAGGGGGCCCCGGGGGTGGCCGGCGCCGGGCGGGCCCCCCTCCAGCCCCAGCACCTGGTGTCCTCGGGCCCTGTCCCTGCTCCCTGGGGACCCTCTGTCTCCCCGCCCACTGCTCGAGGAACCACCCCAGCCCTTTCCCCACCTTCCTGACCCCTGGACCCGTCCTTCAGCCTCCAGACCCCTTCCCGTCACCCCAGCCCTGGCTCGCTGGGGGCTTGTGATCGCGCGTCCTTGCCCCATTCCACAGACCCGGGGCTTTGCCTCGGCCGCCGAGCGCCCTTTCTCTGGCCCAGGGAGCGGCAGGGGACACTAGTTCCCCCACCTTCGGCCGCCCTCTTCCCAAAGACCTCGCCACCGCTCTGCAGGCCGACTCTGCGGGAGGAGCCTATGGGAGCGAGCCCGGTGCATGAGCGGTGCGGGGAGGGGGCGCAGAGCGGGTGGGGTGCACCTGAGCGGGCGCAGTCGGTGCCTGGCCTGTGCCCTGCCGGCCTCGTCCTCCTCCTCGTCCTCGTCCTCGCCGGCCTCGCCGCTCCTCTGGCTGCGCTGCTGCCTCCCCCGCCGCTCCTCGGGCTGCGCTGCTGCCTCCTCGCCGCTTTCCCGGCTCAGGCTCCTGCTTCCCGCGCCCCCTCCGGCTCCCCCTGCCCGCTCCCCTGCCTGTCTCCGAGGCCCCGTCTGTTCTCTGGTCTGTACCTGCCGCCACTTGTCTGTGCCCTTCAGTCTCTTTCCATTGCCAAGTCTGGCTTGGTCTCTGCCACGTCTGGGGGCCACTCACCAGACCACTCACCAGGTCCACGGCTTCCCCTGTGCCACCTGCCCCTTGGGCAGTTCCGAGGCTTGTGGGGCTCCAGTGCCTCTCCTGGAGGTTCGCACTGCCCTGACCCCCAGGTCACCGTTGTCCCCCTTCCTGCCCTCCTGTGCTCTCTGCTGAGTCTCCCTGCATCCTCAGTCCCCATCTGGAAGGCCCCACCCTGTCCTTTCAACTCTCCACCAGGGCCCCTGCTGAGTGACCCCAGCCGACCCTGCCATCTGCCTCTCAGGGCCAGCAGGCGGTGGAGAAGAGGCCCCCAGAGGGTGCCCTGAGCTTCCTCTGCTGGGCAGCCCATCTGGGGCTCCTCTGTGGCTCACCCCTCAGGTCCCCCACCTGGGCCAGGCCCACCCCACCTGGCTCTGTCCTTTCTCCTTCCCTCAAGGTCACTCACTAGCAGTGCGTTACAGAGCACTGGACAGGGAGCCCTGGCTGCGGCCCTCTGCTGACTCAGTTCTGCAGCCCTCCTCCCCTCTGCCCTCCACACCTGTGCCCGCCAGCCCTAACCTTCCTCCGTTACATCTGGCCCTGGTCCAGACCCATCCGCTTGGCCCTGGACCCCTGGGGGAGCCAGCAGGGCCTTCCATGTTAGACACAGGAGCCTGGGGTGCCCCCGACCTGGCTCTTCAACCCACAGAGCGACTGGGAGCCATGTTGCCACCCTCACTCAAGGCCATGGTTGCCTTCTTCCCACACTCCTGGCCTTCCCTGTTTCCTGTGAGACAGTGGGTCTGGGCTTCCCAGAGGGGGTGCTCAGGCTCAGGTGCCTCCCCGCCCCCAGACAGCCCCTCCGCCCCAGTGAATGTCACAGTCAGGCACCTTAAGGCCAACTCGGCAGTGGTGAGTTGGGACGTCCTGGAAGATGAGGTTGTCATCGGATTTGCCATCTCTCAGCAGGTAGGCCTGGAGGGTTTCTGGGAGGGGAGGACACAGACAGCGGTGGCTGATGGGGAGTAAAGAGAAAGAGGGGTGAGGGAAAAGTAGAAAGGAAAAAGGGATGGGGTGGGGGGATCCAGGCAGCAAGGCCTCCCACATACGGTTAAAAGTTGGGGCCCAGAGGGAACCAGTCAGCGTGGGCAGGTCCAGGAGCTCATCTGGAACACAGGCGTTCAGGACACAGCTTTGCGACCAGCTCTGTAGGCAGCTGGATCCCACATGGCTGGCTGCATGGTTCGAGTCCCGCATGCAGCGGCTTGAGAAACACGCTGGCTGCATACTCAAAACCCTGAAAGGAGGACAAACTGAGACGGGATTGTGGGTGACCACATCCCATGGGGGTGCTCCCCTCCGGCCCAGTGAGGGCATGTGCTCTCTAGCAAAAACAAAAACAAAACCCAACATGTTTGGGCCCTGGCCCATTCCCTACCCCTCTGCTGGCCGACCGTGTAAGACGGTGTGCAAAGGACGTCAGGAGCAGGACCGCGTGTGAGGAGCCGGCTCTCCGGGGGCGGCGGGACTGGCACCCGGGCCCTGGCAGAGCTGCGCTTGCCTTCGCAGAAGAAGGACGTGCGGATGCTGCGCTTCATCCAGGAGGTGAACACCACCACGCGCTCGTGCGCCCTGTGGGACCTGGAGGAGGACACGGAGTACATCGTGCACGTGCAGGCCATCTCCATCCAGGGCCAGAGTCCCGCCAGCGAGCCCGTGCTCTTCAAGACCCCACGCGAGGCCGAGAAGATGGCCTCCAAGAACAAAGGCAGGCCTGGGGCGCCCTACGAGGGAGGGCGGGGGAGGCGGCCAGAGAGCTCTGCTCCTGCCTGCCCTCCCGGTGAGGCCACATGAGAGGAGAGAGCGTTCACTGCAGTCTCCCAAGACTGGTATAGACACTCCTGCTCCAGTGGGGCCCTGCTGCTGCCCGTGGCCATCGGTGTTTTCCCGTCTCGTATTAGAGGTGGGGGCACCTGTCAAAATAGGCACTGACATCATGGGCTTGACCCTGAGGTGCAGCTGGGTGAGGGGGTCCCCGACCGAGTGTCCCAATCCTCGCAGACGAGGTGACCATGAAGGAGATGGGGAGGAGCCAACAGCTGCAGACAGGCGAGGTGCTGATCATCGTCGTCGTCCTGTTCATGTGGGCCGGTGAGTCTGGCCTCCAGGCCTCTCCTCTGAGCCTCTGGGGACGGGGCACTCACCAGAGCCTTCCTCTCACAGGGGCCCAGGGCAAGGGGCGTGGAGGTACCCGCGAGGAAGGTGGGGAGGCTCTGAGTCCTGCCTGAGAAGCCCTGGGGACCAGACCTGCCCCTCCTCTAACCCAGTCCTCACTGAAAGCGAGGCCGTGGTAGCCGCCCCGTGGAAAGACGCGTCCACTCGCCTCTCCTCTCTCCGAAGGGGTTCGGCCTCCTCAGGTGGCCAAGCCGCAGCTCTCCTTCCTTTTCTGGGTTGCTGTGCCTCTGGGGGCTCAGGCCCGCTCTCCTAACCCACTCGTCCTAGTCCCAGCTCTGAGAGCGCCACCACGAACCCCCCAGTCCAGTCGTTGGGACGGCCCTCCCGGGCCGGCTAGGCAGTGCAGCAGTGAAGTGGCACTGGGTGCACTTGGGAGATCGCGGGTCCGGCCCCCTGGCTGACCTGTGCACGCCGGGTGTGTTCCCGTGATCCTAGCTGGCTGGGAGGACTGGGGGCCTGGGGGTTGCAGCACGACACCCTGCTGAGGGTGCTTGCCTTTCTCTTCCTCACCCTCATGAAACAAACTTGCAAACGAAAACCAGAAATGGTCCTCCTGCCTTTATGCGCCCAAAGCACCAACCTCCCTTCTCTTATCTGAGGGATCTTCAAAAAGTTCATAGGAAATGTGTATTATGAAAAAATTATGCATGTATTTCAAAATCGTTTGTACCGAGATAAACTTGAATTCCATTTCTCCTTGAACTTTTTGAAGTGCCGGCATGTGAGTTAGTTGGCTCGTGTGCCGCCGTTCCCCCTGATAACCCCCGAGGACGAGGACCAGGCTCCACTCGCGTGCTCAGCCAGCCTTCCACGCCAGGAGGGGCTGTGCTCCCGGTGTGGGAGAGGCCGGGCTGGCCTCGCCAGTGCGGTCTGTGGGAGCTAATTCTGGGGCGAGGGGTAGGAGCCAGGAAGACACGGCAGGTGTCGTGGCAGTTGAACTTCCAGAGGTGAACAGGCGTTCACCAGGCAGCTGCCGAGGAAGGGCTGCCTGGCGCGATGTGGCCCTGCCTGGCCCCGTGGGCTGCAGCCGCAGCCGAGGCCGCGTGTGTGGGGGACAGGCTGCCGGGGCTGGGACGGGGCGCTGAGGGCTCTGAGTACCCGCCAGAGCTTCGTTAGCATGGCGGCTGGGGAGACAGGCAGGCTTCACACAGGAGCGTTTGGAGCAAAATGCTCCCTGGGCACACAGAGAAACAAGCTCTGAGAAAAGGCAGGGAGAACAAGGGTGGTGCGAAGAGGAGGGCCGCCTGGGGCGCACTGTTGGGCTTGGTGACGCGGTGTTACCCTCGAAAGGTCGTGATGCGCTTAGTTAGGATGATGGGGGGGTTTGCTATCCCCACGGCGGGATTCGCCAGATACTGAAATCACACCAAGAGCTGGCACGTGCGTGTGGAGGTGAAGCGGAGGGACACCCAGAACCCGGCTGCCTGACCGCGGACTTTCAAAGATGCTAAGTTCGTGCGTCACTGGGTTGACAAAACTAAACGTTTAACAGACCGCGGGCCCTGGAGGCGGCGTCCCTGCCCAGCACCCTGTGAGTTAAGTGAGTCCCCACTCTGCATCGGCGTCCTCACTGGTCACCTCGCAGGTCCCCTCCCAGTGCCACGAGGACCACGTGACATGGCCCCTGTCGGTGCGCAGCACAGGGCCTGGCACGTGCTCAGCAAAGGCTGTCGAGGCGTCCACCACCTCCCCCTAAGGAACAGAGGAGGCGTGGAGGGTTTAGAGGGAGGGAGCGGAGGAGACGGGTAAGGTCCAGGTGGGAGGGTCAGCCCAGCACCAGGGGAGGGCTGCGGAGAGCTGCTGCAGTGGTGCGGGCAGGGACCATCTGGAGGCACCTTTGACGAGCGCTGCTGAGAATGAAGTAGGCGAGGCAAGGACTGGCTCTCACTGTCCTGCTTGTACCCAGGTGTCATCGCCCTCTTCTGCCGCCAGTATGACATCATCAAGGACAACGAACCCAGTAACAAGGAGAAGACCAAGAGCGCATCTGAAACCAGCACGCCAGAGCGCCAGGGCGGGCTGCTCCGCAGCAAGGTGAGGGCGAGGCCCGTCCTGGTGGGCGGCCTGTGTCCCGTGCATGGGGGGCCAGTACGGCAGGGTCAGCGCAGGCCTGACACGGCTGCGGCCGAGCGGCCGAGCACCAAGCAGAGCGGGCTCAGCAGCCGGGGAGGGCAGGCTCTCGGTTGGTGTGGACAGCAGGAGGGAGCTCCGGGCTGCCTGCTCTGCTGTGCCGTGACGGGGAAGGAGCTTTACCTCTGAGCCTTCGTCCCCTCTTTGTGACAGATATGAGAACGTCTCAGTGCTTGCTCTGAGCAGCTCAGAAGACAGTAGAGAATGTGAGGCTCTCACGGTTCTGACGACGACTACCCAGCAAACGCCTGGCCTCTGCACCACCGCCTCCTCCGTCTCCTGGGCCCTCTGGCTCACTGTCCTCTCTCTTGGCTTCTCTTTCTGGCACATCTTCCTGAAGCCTCTTATTAGTCCCCATCTCCAGAAGCACCTCAACGATGCGCGTGGCTGAAGCTGTGCCCAGGGGCAGATGGACAGGGTGTGAGGACCAGCCAGAGGGGTGGCTGCAGGGGTAGAGGGGTCTCAGGGTGTGGGCCCAGGACCCAGCTTGGCCATTTGGCTGAGTGAGGCCGGAGGCTGGGTTTGAGAAGGTAGGGACGAGACTCCCAGGTAGGGCTACTCTCCTTTCCACAAGGGACGAGAGCCTGGCTCCTAGACCACAGGCCTGCTGCTTCCTCCTCCCTGTCCTCTCTGTTTCCACCTTGCAAGAAGGCTATTCAATTAGCCCTGGCCGCGTCGCTCGTTTTTTTCCTCTCGGTTTCCAAACAAGCCCTCGGTGAACATCAGCGAAGCGTGACTGCCTGTCTGCAGGGAAGAGGATTTCATTTTTCTTCTCTGCTGGTCCCTGGGTCCATGGGCACAGGACGAGGGATGACTGCAGCAGAGGGAGGCAGGGCTAGCTAGCTGCACAGTTCTCCCTCTGTCCTAGTCTGATGGAGGCGGCTGAACTACAAACCCAAACTGCAAAAAAATCAACACGCCACAAACTAAAAGGCCTGACCCCATTCTGGAAACAGTGCGGCTGCGTGAAACACAGACCTCCTCCTAGACCACAGGCCTGCTGCTTCCTCCTCCCTGTCCTCTCTGTTTCCACCTTGCAAGAAGGCTATTCAATTAGCCCTGGCCGCGTCGCTCGTTTTTTTCCTCTCGGTTTCCAAACAAGCCCTCGGTGAACATCAGCGAAGCGTGACTGCCTGTCTGCAGGGAAGAGGATTTCATTTTTCTTCTCTGCTGGTCCCTGGGTCCATGGGCACAGGACGAGGGATGACTGCAGCAGAGGGAGGCAGGGCTAGCTGCACAGTTCTCCCTCTGTCCTAGTCTGATGGAGGCGGCTGAACTACAAACCCAAACTGCAAAAAAATCAACACGCCACAAACTAAAAGGCCTGACCCCATTCTGGAAACAGTGCGGCTGCGTGAAACACAGACCTCCTGCCTCCCCGACGCTCCTGGACCGGCTTCCTCTTGGAGAAGACGCACAGAGCCCAGGGAGATGACAGGCCCTGATACTGACTGGAGCTGTGTCTTTCAGACATGGGACATCAGGGAGGCCCGTGGGCTGCCTGCTGCGCAGGGTCATGGCTGTCTTGAAGCTTTTTCTGGATTCAGCCATCAAGGACTTGATTGTGGTACGGTGCACACCTTTGTGAGTGTGTAAAATGTTTCGTCTCTTTTTGGAAAGCAAAATCGGAGGGCTCCACCCCATCGGGCAGAGGGACTCCCCAGACTGAGCCGCTTGTCTGTGCCCTCTACCTTCTTTTGGCCGTAAGATCATCAGTCGGGGTCTTAAGAAAATTCAGAAGGCTTCAGCCCCATTTCTTTGGGAAGTTTCTCTCGAAGTCTCAGCAATACTGGCTTGGCCAACTGGAAGGCTCACCCAGAGCTGGCATCGGGGGCTGCTAAACCACCCACGAGGCGGAAGCTGCGAGAAGGCAGTCCTGAGCCGTTCTCCGTGGATGGGCGGGCAGCCCTGGCTAGCACCACTGGCCTCTGAGGTTCCATACCTTGCCATTTCATCCAGGGTTCTGTGAGTTACCCAGGGTCCTCGTCCTTCCCTAGAGCCTGTGTGGTGTGAAGTGACGGGTCTCTCTCCACTGCCCCTTTCTGGTTAAAACAAAATGGTGCTTGAGGAGGGAAGGCAGACTCTTCCCTAGGACTGACGAGTTACGGCTGCCCAGTGCCTGTGCGGGAAGAGGTGGACTCCTGCATCCTCCACTGGTGGCCAAGGATGGGGATGTGGAAGACTGTGCCTGGCACCAGCCTGCGCAAGCGGGCACTTGGTAAACAGCTGCTGAGCTGAATGACAAGAGCACTGGTCCCCAAACTAGGGAGCTGAAAGCCATCACCCAGTGACCACCCCTTCCTTCTGGTCTCCAAGGGCTCTCAAGGCTGGGTCGGCCACCGCTCTGCTGCGTCCGAGTGTGGCGGCACAGGGGAGGAGAGACAGATGAAGGCCAATGTCAGCAATACTAAGGGCTTCCTCCCGGGAGGGCACGAGGCCCCACTCATCGTCTTGTGACTTCCATCCCTGCTGACTGGGGCTGCAAGGCCAAGGCTCCTTAGGGGAGAGGTCCCGACCTCTGATCCAGTTAGAGCAATAACCACTTTTTAAATGTAAAATAAAAGACAAATGAAAAGGCACATCCTTGTCTTCTGGTAAATGCCCAAATGTTGCCCTCTTTTTCTGGCAATTGGCAGTAAGTCAGGATATGTGGAGGAGGGAGTCAGTTCTCTCTCCATTTTGGCCTGCAGCTTCTTAGGGACATGCCTGCCAGCCAAGCTGGAGTTGGAAGGGAAATCTCGAACAGATGGGGGGTGCACGTGGAGGAGAAGAAAATAGCTGCTTCATCACCCTATTACTAAGGCTCCCCCAAACCAGGCTTGGGCTGCCTCACCACACTGCCATGCCTACTGGTACTCAGGGTTTTAAGACAAAGGATGTTTCCCTCTGGGTGGGGCTGAGGGCTCTCCCTGGGCTGAGGTGAGGAAGGAAGGACTGCAGAAGCAGCTTCCTGCAGCTCAGCATTCTCAGCACGGCTAGGCTCGCACGCAGTTCTGGGCTGTTAGAGGCACATCACTTTGACCCCAGCAGCAGGCTGAAAGATAACGATGCCGTTAGTGCCTGGGCAAACCAGTGAACAGGGCATCATGCACGTTCCTACCCAGAGCCAGGAAGCGCTTAGGGAGAACATGTCAGGTGAGCGGGGCTTAGAGCAGGCTGTTCTGGAAGGTTCTGAAAGCAAAGGGAAACCAGTCTTAAAGGAGGAAGTTGGTGAGCACACAGAACTCCAAGCTACACCTTAGAGAAGTACTTCCGAGGCCCCCTTTGCCCTTCTCGTACCAGACGGAGAGCCAGCTAAGTCAGCAGTAGGGAGAGTTGTGGGCAGGGCCCAGCGAACTCTGCTAGTGAGGATTCCCTGTCTTCCACTTAACCTCTGCCTATGGTCAGTCATAAAGGGTGTGAAGGAAGAGGAGCAAGTGACACTGTCCCTCCATTCCCTTTGATCACCATGGAACACTGAGACTGACTGCTCCTGTCAGCTGTAGCTGCAGTCGACCCTTCTGTGATCTGAGTTGTGGACCTTTCTTCCCCACTCCTGTAGATCCAGAAATTTCTGACAACTTCGGAAGGGCATGGACAGTTCTTTAAGGCCAAGAGACCTTGAAGGCAGACCACGCAAGTCTACAGGAGGCCTGCTGGACTGGGAGGCAGGAACCCCACCTTTAAATCATCTTCGCGCCCCAGACAAGTTATTTCTCTTGGTTTTCAATCTGCCAACAAGAGGGGTTAGAAAAGAGGATTCCCAGAGTTCATCTGCTTCTATGAGAAGCCACGGGGTATCCTCATAGGAATAAGAGGGGAACCCTAAGATCTGAGGGGAGGAAGACAGACTGACGAGTTTTACCATGGGGAGTACCTTTCTCCTACTCCAGTCCCCTCAACCTCTTAGCTTTTCAGTGTGGGCCTCTTCGAGAATCCGCTAAAATCTCGAATTCAACCATCTATAGACATAAGTAAGACCTCGCTGATTCACCCACGTGTCTCAGATTTCAGATTTCTATTTATTTCTTGTCTTTAAACCTATTGAACAGTTTGGAGTTGGCTTTGAAGTAGCTTCCAAGAACAAAACTGCTTCTACAAATGGGACATCCTGCCTACCCAGCCCCGCTTCAGTCCCACTGAGCCCATCAGTGCGGGATATTCCCAGAACCTCACATGCAGCTTGACGCTAAGTTGAAGCTCTCTGTGTGATCCTGCGTGTCAGATGGCCACTTGGACTGGTTTAAAGCTTACCTAAAACATTACATTCCACTCGCTCCCTTCTCGTGGGTGCTGGAGAGGGCCAGGTTTTCTATGGCGTGTTCCTGTTGTCATCGGGGGAGGACAGGTGGGGAGGAATGACAAAGCAGGAACTTGTTCATTAAGGAATTCCACCACTGACCAGCTGACACTTCTGTGACAAGTGGAAATTTTTTTCCTGACAGGTGCTCTGGCATACAAAGCAAGCATGGCTTAAAATCAGTTTAGGAATAATTCTTTTCTCTCTTACAAAAGCAGTCCACAGTAAGGGAAGCAGGGAAGTCTGCTTTCTAGTTTAGGTGGTTGGATTTTTTTCTTCCTATGAAAGCTCAAAATGGACTGGTTAGAGATGGAACCCATTCCTATCAGGGAAGGGCATTTTTCCTTTTTCTCTTTACTTTCTCATAAAATAAGGGACACCACCACTTCAGAGAATTCAGCTTGTTCTCTGAAACCATTGATGCCTACAGCAGTAACGCAATGCTAAAGAACAAATAAGCAATTACTGGACAAGGCCTCACCTAACCTGACAGGCACAAAATGGATATGCACCTTGATGGTCGACTACCTCAGATTGAGTAATAGCGAATAGCTGTGTTCTTAGTAAATCTGTGCTGAGCCTTTTGCCTGGACCAGAATATATGTTGTCTAGAATACATATACTAGACAAAGTGTATAGAACAGCGGGCCAAGAGCGTGGCCAAACGCGCTGTGTATGTTCTCAGCGTGACTGGAGATTTTAAAAGCACTGGCTAATACAGGTGACAAGCTATTATTGCTTTCCCTTTTATCCTTGCTCCTAGGGGTAAGTATAAGCAGCTTAGGTTCACAAGAGATCAAAGGAATGCACTGTCTCCCACCATCTGCCCACGCTCACCCACCCTTCACTCCAGGTTCTGGAGACAGCGGTTTCTGGAGAAGTTGGGCCAAGACCAGTCATCAGTGTTGTATTATTGACTCTGGTTTCTCACATCCCCTTTAAAGGGACAATGCCCCGGGACAGCGTGGCTTCTTCCTTAATCAGCACTAGCTCTGGGAAGCAGAGAGGGGCCGCACACAGCCCTGGGGAGGAGTGCAAGGCAAGGCCTGCCTCCGGCGTCAGGCCGAGCTGGCCTCCTCCTCCGCAGGCACAGCCACACTGGTATTTCAGGCTCTCCCCATGCCAGGCTCCGGACATGCACACGGAGCTGCAAATCCCAGTCAATCTCACACTGCTGAACTGCTGGGACACCCTTCTCCACTGTAATCTACCCTCCAAAGAACCTCGCTGTCCCAATACGCGTTCTCCGAACTGCCACCCCCTCCCATACCCCACTAACCTACCTACGCAAAGAGGAAGGCAAATAACCCTCCCTCAAAACCCGCGACAGACGGCCACAGTACATATGCCACTGACAAGAACTTTTATTTCTTTTTAATGACATTAAACACAACTGCTACAAGGGAAAAAAACATGACAGAGGAGGCACCAACTTCAGTTTCATAACTGCTCCTGACGACGCAAGTCAATCTGGCCCGCACTCCATGAGGAACCACAGGCCATCTGAGGCTCCTCGCTTACAAACAAGCCATGTAAACGGCACGTTTCTGCTCTGCTCTGTCAGGACCCTGTGCTGGGAGTGTCTCCACAGGTCAAGGCTAGGTAGGCAGTCAGACGCACATAACCCACACTTGAAAAACACAGCAAGAATTCCACCCGCAACACTGGACTGGGCGGCGAGCAGCAACTACGAGAGCGTGCAGCTTTGCGGTGAACACTGCCATCTTTAAAGTGGCTGGCTTTGTTTTTTCTTCTTAAAGAATACCATGTTAACCACTAGAGAACAGCTCTCTCCTCCCCCAGTTCAACAGATTTAATTAGGCTGCTAAAGCTTTGGAAAAAACAGAATTATTGGAGCTAAGAGGAAATGTGACTGTCACATTCTCTAGTGAACCTGTCACTCATTTGATCTGGCAAAGGCAGGGCTCCCATTAGACACTCAGTCTTAAGCCCCCTGCACCAGGACAGGAATGTGAATCTTAAGATTTTTGCCGAAGCACAATGCTGTCCCGACTCCTTGGGCTATCTGTGGGGATGCAGACAGCTGCAATGCTAGCTATTCCAGCTACATTTAATTTTAACTACGTTCTGGTCCCAAAGGTGGATGTTTGGCATGTCTCACTCCATCAAGCTAATTTAGGACAGCCCGGAGAATGACTGACGTAGTACATGCCAATTATGCTGACTGAAATCACAGATTTTTGACTACTGCCTAAGAACACAACTTTTCTTTTGAATTTTGGTTCTAGAATCTAAAGCAAACGATGTGGAAAAGAGAGTCCTTGTCTGGTTAAAAACAGGAAACACTTAAGAGACATCTATCCAATTTCACTAGTGGCCTGAATGAACAAGCTTCTCCCAAGTCAGTTTCTAAATTGGGGTAGGATGTTTAAGACAGGCTAATCACATGCAAAGGCAGGGCAGGTAAAACAACACAACCAGACAAAGACTATATCAGCTAGGAGCGACGTTCACAGTGAGCAACACATGGAGGCCAGACTGCAAAGCCTCCCGAAATGACCTTTCGAGCGGTGCGTGAGCTGTGTGGGCATGTCCTGAAACATTCCTTCAGGTAGATGCACCACATCTGTCAGCTTTGGTTAGAACACCAAATCTGAAGATCAGGCAATGCTTTGGTGAGCAGACATCGCCATAACTATGTCAGACCTATGCTAGCAGTTAGGTGCAACTGTGCACCAGGGGCATGACCGGCGAGATTTAACAGCCAGGGTCTAAAGGCACCTCTGTTAACCAAGTATGGAGACAAATGAGTGCCTCTCCAAGTCTCTCCCAAATGGAGCAGGCTCCTTGACAAATATCCTTATTGATATTTCAAGTGTCAACGCATACTTAAATTGGAGATTAGCAGAACAAACTGAAGGCCAACCTACACCTCAATGGCACTGGCCTGTCCTAGAGTCAAGACACGGGGTAGGCGATGTCTTTCAAGAAAGGGAGGCTGTTCTGAAGAGGCACAGCCATGTCTCTCAGGAAACAGAAGCACTGCCAATAAAACTGCAAAGGAGTGGTCACTGAAGGTTAAAACCCGGGGATACGTGAGGAAGGGTGGAGGAGACAACGTGGGACAAAGAACACAGGCACAGAGCAGGGATTAGTTGGCAGTCTTCAGTCAAGAGTTAAGAAGGGTGTAAGATTTTAAACACTATCATGCAACATAAGTTTAATGAGTAATGAAAAAAGTAAAAAAAAAATTAATAAAATAAAGGGAGCTAGTAGAAAAAAGAGGAGAGGATTTATACTTTTAATCTGTCCTTTCAACAAGATTGTTTTCCTATCCCATTCTATTTCAAATGTCCTGGACTGCCAACTTTGAAATAACTGACAGGTATTCAGAGATTCAAAAAGTTAAGACAGTCATTAAAAGTGACTTATATTCACTTACAAGTGATCAGTAATAATTAACACTGGCCCATAGCCTGATAAAAAACTATTTTCTAGGGGCCACCCAGGTGGTATGCTGGTTGAGACAGGTAGATCCCACACGGCCAAATGCTCAGTCTGAGTCCCAGATCTGGTGGCTTGAAAAGCATGCCAGGTGCATGTGTGTCTGTGCATCCAAAATCCCAAGAGGAGAGCGAGGAGAAGGGATTGTGGTGTGGCCATCCTCTTGGGGGTGGCAAAGAGGCTGGTGATTTCTCATTCCACCCCTCCCCCACCCTACTCCATTACTCTTAGGTGAGTGCACGCCCTATAGCAAAAAATGAAATAAAATTAAAAAATAAAAAGAGTATCTTGCTTACAGGAGGTTTAAAAGGTAACCCTCCTTTGGGCACTTCTACATGGAGCTGAGTTTCTTCTTTGAGCCTGGTTATTTGGCCTTATGCTGGCTTTCGGGAGGCTTTCCATTTCAATTTAAAAATTAAAAAAAAAAGTATCAATATCGGTTAAACAGATAGAAACACACAAAATCAGGAGGAACCTCATACAAAAAAAATTCAAGTGAGTATTTCCAAAAGATGACAAGTTCTTTAAATAAAAATCTTGTGGAAAAATAAAATTCGGTATCTACAAAGCACAAAACAGCAGAAGATGATGAGATGCTGCTCTGGACAGGACCCTGGAGAAGGTCCCTCACGGCTGAGGGGATGAGACGAAAGGACTGCATGGGAAGTCTGGGTGACGCTGGAACCGATGGTAGCTTCGCATGTTCCTATCGACCCACTGAGTCAGACTGCATCTTTGCAGAGGTTTCTGTCTGAACCGGGCGTAGTTTCTATTGAGAGAGGGAGATCGAAAACATGAAGGATATTTCAGATGGCATGGCTATTTGTACACAAAGATGGCCAGCAACACTATTTTAAGAATATTTTAACTTTTAACTTTTGGGGACCAGCAGTTAGTGTAATGGCTGTGTCGCTGGATTCCCACATAGTCGACCGCGATTCGAGTCCCGGATCCGGTGGCTTAAACTCACGCCGGGCACATGTGTGTGCGTGCCTAAGATCCCGAGAGGAGAATGGAGGAGAAGGGATTGCGGTGTGGCCATCCCTCCTGGGGGGTGATTTCTCACTTTCTGTCTCTCTGTCTTTCTGGCGAGTGCACGTGCCCTATAGCAGAAAAACCTCTCCAAAATAAAAAGAAAGAAAAAGAATGTTTTAACTTTTGGAAATCAGATATTTAATATTTCAATTCTCACAATGTTAGGAATGTTACACTATTTTATTTATAGGAAAGCAGCATCACTAAGTAGTATTTCCTTCTAACTCCTAAAGTCACCTAACCCTAGTAGATATTAGGGTGACACGTGCCACATAAACAATGATCTAAGGAAAACTAATGCATAATGATGTTTGAATAGAGAAAAATTTTATCCTTCCAGAAGCATTTAGAGCAGGATTAGGCCAGCCAGTGGTATGGTGGTTAAGGCAGCTGGATCCCACATGTCCAACTGCATGGTTTGAGTCCCAGACCCTGCAGCTTGAAAAACATGCTGGGCACATGTGCAAGCATGTCTAAAACACTGAGAGGAGAATGGAGGGGAAGGTACTACGTGTAGACAATCCCCTTAGGAGGTGCCTTCTCATTTTCCTTTTCTCTGTCTCTTTCTCTCTAGTGAGCACATATGTCTTATAGCAAATTAGAATAAATAAATATGTATTTTTTTTAAGAAGAGCAGGATGGGGCCGGTAGGCAGCATGGTGATTAAGGCACTGGACTGGCCAACCATAGTTCAAATCCCTGACCTGGCAGCTTGCTGTCTCACTTTGTCACTTTCTTTCTCTGTCTCTCTCTGGTAAACTTAAAATGACAATAATAAATAAATTTAATTAAATTTTGGAAAAACCAAAAAGAACCTTGTTTAAACCATACCTGTACTTCTAATAGACCCTCACTGTCTAACATAGGCTGCCCAGGTCACAGCAGTTAAATTTAGAATACAATTCCCAGAAAAGCTAAATCATCATGTGACTGTCACATTATAAGTTTAAAGACTGAATAATTAATAGCACAAACTCAAAGTTTCCTGAGAGTCTCCTTCAGACGTGTGCTTGATTGGGGTTCTTAGCAAGAGTCTGAGGTTTGATACCATTCTCAATTCCAAAATTGTTCCTTATAACCACTGAGAGGCCTGTTCTTCTTTCTTGTTTTTTTTTTTTTTTTTTTTTTTTTTTTTTAATAAATCCTTGTTTTTTCCTTTGACATTTACTTCTTCCACAAGAGAGACAGGCACTACCCCAACAAGGTCCCAGTTAGGGTCTACCCCGTCTCCACCAGCCCAGATCATGGGCACAGATTACCTGGTATGCTCAGGGAGGTCCTGGAACATGAGCCAAGAACCTTTCTTTCTTTTCTTTTTTAAAGAGGTTTTTGCGCATGTGCTCTCCAGACAGAGAGACACAGAGATAGAAAGCGAGAAATCACACACTCCCGGGGGTGGGGGGGATGGCCACGCTGCAATCCCTTCTTCTCCATTCTCTTCTTGGGATCTTGGGCACGCACGCACATGCGCCGGCGTGAGTTTTAAGCCACCGGTCTAGGACTGGAACCGTGGTCGACTACATGCGAGTCCAGCAACATAGCCATTATGCCAGCTGCTGGTCCCAAACCAAGAACCTTTCTCACGTGGGTCCATTTGCATTATTGCTATACCACAGAGAGTGCCTGCCCTGGGAAACTTTCTAAAGACACAAATTCTTAGGCTCTCCTCTCCTCAAGACTTACTGAGTTAGAGTCCCAGATATCTGCATTTTTTTTTAAGGGGGGAGGGAAGATTTATTTATTTATTTAATTCCATTTGCTATTATTATGTTTTTAATCTGGGAGAGAGAAAGAGAAAGGGAAAGTGGGAAAGTCAACCGCCAAGTCTGGGACTCAAACCACGATCGGCGGTGTGAGAGTCCAGCGCTTTTAACCACCCACCACCTGCCGGCCCTGATATCTGCATGTTTTAATATCTCCACAGGTGGTTCTCAGGCAGGCTGAAAATAATTATAGCAGTTCCTGAACTGTATGTATCTCTATCTGTAAGTACTTGCTGAATTTCTTAAAAACTCATCTCACTTGGTGCCAGGGACAATCTTGTGAGGGTTAAGGAAGTACTTGCATAAACTCCTGTCATAAAACTGAGCCTTGTCCTCAGTCTGCAGTGGACACAACCATGGCAGGCACTTTCACCCGCTCCTGCGCTGACTGACAAGAAGCCCTCCAGATGCACAGTACTTTCAGACTCCTACTACTGCGTCTCCTTGACCAACTCTTTTACCCAGCTGTGGGGCCGGTAAAGTCACCCATTCCTCTCTTCTGCAGAGCCTGTGGAAAAATGTGACATTCTTTTCTTTCTTTCTTTTCTTTCTTCCTTCCTTCCTTTCTTCCTCTTTCTTTCTTTCTTTCTCTCTCTCTCTCTCTTTCTTTCTTTCTTTCTTCCTTCCTTCCTTCCTTCCTTCCTTTCTTTCTTTTTTGTTTAGTAGTACAATGTTTTCTTTTCTTTTCTTTTTTTAAAAAGTTTGGTATAGAGCATGAAGTGAGAAGCCACCCCACAGAGGGGTGGCCATGTTGCAACCCCTTCTCTGATCTCTTCTCAGGAATTTAGGCATGCATACATAATCGCTCAGAGTGTGTTTCAAGCCTCCTGGGTCCAAGACTCAAACCTTGTAATTGGCAATCCAAACCTTCCAGCCATCTTAACCACTATGCCACCTGGCTGGCCTTGTTTTATTCTATTTCTAAAGGAAACAGCTATCTACTATATGGCATTTCAATTTTCTTTCTTTCTTCTGGAGAGAGACAGAGTTTGAGAGTAAGAGAGAAACGAAGTGAAAAAGCAAGCCACCAGATTCAGGACTCGAACCCTAGTTGGCGATGTGGGAGTGTCCAGCACCTTAACCACCATGCCACCTGCTGGTCTCCGGCATTTCAATTTTCTAAAATAGTTATTTGCACTATGTTTGGTATGGCAATGAGTCTAGGGATGGAAAGTGTGACAGAAATCCCAAAGTAGATACAATTCTTTGATCCAAACACTTACGAAATTGAGTAGCAGGAGCCAGTAGTGGTTAAAGCACTGGGCTCCCATGTGACTGACTGTAGTTCAAGCCCCAGACCGGGCAGCTTGAAATTCACGCCAGGCACATGTGCGTACGTGTCCAAAATCCTGAGAGGAGAATAGAGAAGAACGGACTGCTGTGTGACCATCCTCTCATGGAGTGATTTCTCACTTTCCCTCTGTCTCTCCAGTGAATGCACATGCTGTACAGAAAAAAATCTCTTAAAAAAAAAAAAAAAAGGGAACCACCAGTTGGTGTAATGGCTATGTCGCTGGACTCCCATGCAGTCAACAGAGGTTCACGTCCCGGACCCGGTGGCTTAAAACTCACACCGGGCGTGTGTGCATGCGTGCCCAAGATCCCGAGAGGAGAATTGAAGAGAAGGGATTGCGGCGTGACCATCCCCCCAGGGGGGTGATTTCTCGCTTTCTGTCTCTATGTCTCTGTCTGTCTGGTGAGCGCATGCACCCTACAGCGAAAAACCTAACAAAAACAACAAAACAAAAACAAAACAAAAAAAAAACAAAAGAAGAGGAACAGAGGGGCTGGCAGGTGGCGTGGTGGTTAAGGGTGGTGGACTCCCACATGGCCAATCGTGGTTCAAGTCCTGGACCTGGTGGTTGCTTTCTCACTTTCTCTCTCTCTGGTCAAATTAATATGAAGTATATGAATAAATAAATAAAAATAATTCTTAAAAAAAAAAAAAAACCAAAACAACGGAAATTGAGTAATATCTCAATATGAAAATTTTGGCTACTTAGAAATTAGAGAAAGCACAAGCTTTAAGCTAATCAGTTAAAATCACCTATTTTAGGGACAGTCAGTGGCATGGAGCCAGATCTCTCATGGCTGGCTATTCAGTTCAAGCCCCAGATCCCAGCCCAGCAGCTAGAAAAACACTCTATCTTTATCCAGTGAGTGCATGCACCCTATAACAAAAACTGAAAAAAAATTAATTAAAAACCCCACATCTATGTGGACCAGTCAGTGACATGGTTAAGGTGGCTGGATCCCACATGGCTTATGGTGCATAAGTTCAAGTCCTGGACCTGGAGGCTTAAAACAACACACTGGGTGGGCCAGTGGGTCGTGGTGGTTAGGATATTGGACTCCCACATGGCTGACTGTGGTTCAAGTCTTGGACCTGGTGGCTTGCTTTCTCACTTTTCCTCCCCCTCTCTCTCTGGGGAGCACACATGTCTAACAGTAAACTAAAACAAAAGTTTTATGCATGACTATGGTACTATAAAAAACTGCCAGACGTGCGCTGGGACAATACATTGACTGAGCAGTAGTCTCAGTTGTGTGAAATAGAAACTCAAATTCAAAGAATTTTCTGTACATGTTTGAGTTTTAAAAGTAGAACCTCATAAGGCATCACAAAATACATAATAAACACTGACAGTTGTAGTCTAACTTTAATCTGAAACTATAATAGTTGTATTATTAGGTTTACCCAAATGTAGACACGTTATGTCACTCAATGATAACATAGAGTGAACCACAATAGCCCACTGATTCTGGGGCTGCCTTAAATACAATTTCCTAAATGATTTTAAACAATTCTTTGGCTTTTATATTATCCACCTAGTTTCTTCCTTTTTTCTTTTATTTTTTTAAAGAGGTTTATTTTTTGCCTTAGGGCACATGCACTCACTGGGGAGAGAGAAAAACAGAGACAGTGAGAGGGAAAGTGAGAAATCACCTCCCAGGAGGGCTGGCCACACTGGCAGTCCCTTCTCCATTTCCTCCCAGGATCTTGGGCATGCATGCACACATGCCTGGCATGATTTTCAAACCACCAGGCCCAGGATTTGAATCATGGTCAGCCATGTGGGAGGTCCAGCAACTTAACTGCTATGCCATCTGCTGGCCTCCAAGTTTCTTTCCTTTTTAAAAGAGATTTTTGCTATAGCGTGCATGCACTTGCTGGAAAGAGAGAGAGAGAAAAAGAAAGTGAGAAATCCGTCCCAGGGGGATGGCCATGCCATAATTCCTTCTCCTCAATTCTCCTGTCAGTATCTTGGGCATGCATATACACATGCCTGGCATGAGTTTCAGGCTGCTGGGTCTGGGACTTGAACCATAGTTACCCATGTGGGAGTCTAGCATCTTAACCACTATGTCACCTGCTGGCCCCTACCTAATTTCTTTCTTCCTTTTTTTTGGAGAGGTTTTTGCTATAGGGTGTGTGTGCTCACCAAAAGACAAAGAGACACAGAGAGAAAGAAAGTGAGAAATCACCCTCGGGGGGATGGCCATGCCGCAATCCCTTCTCCTCTGTTCTCCTCGGGATCTTAGGCACGGAACAACGCGTATGGTCCACAGTTGAGTTTAAGCCACTGGGTCTGGGACTCCAACGGTGGTCGACTACACGGGACCTAGCCATTACGCCACCTGCTGGCCCCTACCTAATTTCTTTCTAAAGTGAAAACCTGAGGCAACTTCAATGTGTCTAGGCAAATCTCTGCACATATATATTTATGTCTGTTTACATACATCTTAAAATCTAAGTGTTTAAGTCAGTTTCTTATGTGTTACTAACTGCACTTTTTTTCTTCTTTTCTTATTTTGGTTAACATGAGGTAAAGGGAGCCCTGGAAATACTAAACAGGTCACAAAAAAGTACAGAAGTATATCGTGGTTCAAAAATAAATAAATAAAAATAAAGGAAACAGCCTCAGATCAGATAACTTGCCCAAAGTCATAAAGTAGAACCTGGATTTGAAATTACATCTGACTCCAGAATTTATCTAGTAATACTTATGCCATACTGTGTTTTTTCCTGAGAACTGCTGTGCTTTGGCAACTATACAGGAAACATGAGTGTAAAGCCCTGAGGGGAGCAAGTTTAAAAAAAGCAAGGGGTAAGGACCAGCAGTTGGTGTAATGGCTATGTTGCTGGATTCTCATGTAGCTGACTGAGGTTCAAGTCCCAGACCAGGTGGCTTAAACTCACACCGGGCGCATGTGCATGTGTGCCCAAAATCCCAAGAGGAGAATGGAAGAGAAGGGATTGCGGCATGGCCATCCCCCCTGGGAGGTGATTTCTCGCTTTCTGTCTCTCTGTCTCTCTCTGTCTGGCGAGTGTATGCACCCTATAGCGAAAAAAAAAAAAAAGCAAGGGGGAGCTAGCAGATGGCATAGCAGTCATATTGTTGGATTCCCACATGGCCGACCACAGTTTGAATCCTGAATCCAGTGCCTTGAAACTCACACCAGGTCTGTGCACATGTATGCCCAAGATCCTGGGAGAGGAATGGAGAAGGGATTGTGGCATGGCCATCCCCCCTGGGGGGGGGGGTGACTTCTCACTTTCCCTGTCACTGTCTCTGGCTCTCTCTCTGGTGAGCACATACACCCTAAGGCAAAAGTCTCTAAAAAGAAAAAAAAAAAAAATCAGCAAGGGCCCAGCTGTGAGGGTGCAACAGTCAAACAATGCTCTGAGGTCTCCTGCATGTGCCAGGCAGATGTGGGTATGATCCTGGCTGGCTGAAATTGGGGGTGAAATACAGCACAAAGACCCTGTGAGAGGTACCCGTCTCTTTCTACTTCTCTCTCTCACACATGAAGAAATAATTGTTTTTTTTAAAAAATAGGAAGTCAGTGTGACTAGAGCAGAGTAAGTAATAGTAGGAGAAGTTGGTAATCTGAGGGTAAAAGATCTAGGCCTTTGCAGGGGATCGTGAGGATGGCAAGATGTGAGATGGAAAGCCACTGGAAAATAATGAGCAAAGAAGAGAGTGGGACTCACAGTTCAAAAGAATCTCTTTGGCTGAGTTACAAACAGTAAATAGGCAAGGACAGAAGCAGGGAGACATTTAGGAAACTTGCAATAATCCAGGTAAAATGATGAGAAATGGTTAGATTTTTGGATACATGTACAACCTAAGTGATTTGCTGGAATGGACCAAATATGGGTGAGAAAGAAGAGACAACTCCTAGGTTTTTGTGTAAAGAATCAAATTAATTAAATCAATCTATAAAGCCATACTGAATAAAGAATCCAGAAGGTTTTAAAACTAGAATGGTCCACAGGACCAGCAGGTAGTGTGTTGGTTAAGGCATTGGACACTCCCACATGGCCGACCATGGTTTGAGTACTGGACCTGGTGGCTTGCTTTCTCACTTCCCTTCTCTCTCTCTGTGTATCTCTCTGGTCAAATTAAAATAAATAAATGAATAAATAAAATTTTAAAAATAGAATAAAAAACAAAAAACTAAAATGGTTCTGGGACTGGCAGGTGGTATGGTGGTTAAGGGTGCTGGACTCCCACATTTCCATGATGAAGGTTTGAGTCCTAGACCTGGCTGCTTACTTTTTCACTCCACCCCTCCACACAGATACTCTGTCCCTCTCTGGTCAAAGTTTAGTTAATTAATTAATTAATGTTCGATAAAATCATTCTTAAAAAAAAAAAAAAAGAACTAGAATGGTCCTTTGACATCAATTTGTCCAATATCTTTCATTTTACTGATGTGAGGACCAGAACTGAAGTGACTAGACAAAAATCATACATATATAGTTAATTAAAAATTGTAAAGCGAGCATTAAAACTCAGGTTTCCTGGGACCAGCAGTTAGTGTAATGGCTATGTCGCTGAACTCATTAGTCGACCACGGTTCAAGTCCTGGACCCAGTGTGCGTGCGTGCCCAAGATCCTGAGAGGAGAATGGAGGAGAAGGGATTGCGACCTCGCCATCCCCCCAGGGCGTGATTATTCGTTTTCTGTCTCACTCTGTCTCTCTGGAGAGCGTATGTGCCCTATAGCAAAAGCCTCTCAAAAAAACAAAAAACCTCAGGTTTCAGTCTACTTCTTATTCCGTTACACTGTATTACTTCTTTTTTCACCTCTGGAATTAAACAATTACAATCCCAGTTCCTTACAGTATTGCTTCTGCAATTGAATTCTACCTTTACCTCCTTCTAATCACCCACTCACCGCACAGTGAGGTCCGAAGGATGCTGCCATTTTTGGTTCTTCGTATAATGAACTTGATCCATCAAGGCACAAAGCTCCCCCAAGGGACCTGTGATACAAAGATCAATGGTTAGCAAGCAGCTAAATAAACTACTGTGTCAGCCTAAGTAAGAGTGTGCTTTCAGGGAAAGAAAACAGGCACTGGTCCCAGTAACATCCACTTTCAGTTAATAAAGCAGTTGGGACGAAAACTGCAAGCCGGAGCCAGGAGCTTGCTCCTGGATGCAATGGTGAAGCAATAACGAGTGTCATTCATTCACCCGACATGGATTAGCTCCTATAATGAACGTGTGAGGCACTTACTGGTCCTAGGAATATGGGAGTGAGCAACGTACTGTACCTGTTCTCAAAAGAGTGTGTACAGGAGGGGAACCGGCAGTTAGCGTAATGGCTATGTCGCTGGACTCCCACGTAGTCGACCGCGGTTCGTGTCCCGGACCCGGTGGCTTAAAACTCACGCCGGGCGCATGTGCGTGCGTGCCCAAGATCCCGAGAGGAGAATGGAGGAGAAGGGATTGCGGCGTGACCATCCCCCCTGGGGGGTGATTTCTCGCTTTCTGTCTCTATGTCTCTGTCTGTCTGGCGAGCGCATGCGCCCTACAGTGAAAATCTCTCCAAAAAAAAAAAAAGAGTGTGTACAGGAGACAGGTGATTCCAAAATGGTGAGAAATATGCAGGGATAGAAGAAATACAGGCTGCTGTAGAGACTAGGGGAGAGAGGTTGGATCAGTCCTCTCCACGGGAAGTAAACTAAGCAAGCATGTATAAACAAGCATCTAAAGGATTCTAGGAGTTCGTAAGGTAAAGTGGGGTAGAGACAAAAGACAGCAAAACACATTCGAGAAATAAGAGTTTAGAACAGACAGACGTGGGTGCTCTTAGCTAACGAGAATTTTTTTTTGGAGAGATTTTTGCTATAGGGCTGTGTGCTCCCCAGAAAGACAGAGAGAGACAGGGAGACAGAAGCAAGAAATCACCCCCCAGGGGAGATGGCCACGCCACATTCCCTTCTCCATTCTCCTCTCGGGTTCTCGGGCACGCACGCACACATTCCCGGAGTGAGTTTAGGTCCGGGATTCGAACTGCGGTCAACTACTGCTGGTCCCCCAAATGAGAAAATTTCTAAAGGCAATTTCTCAAAACATCTGGGAGCCTTGTAACGTGATAGGCACTTTACATGTTATTTTACTTAATTCTAAAATTAAAAAAAAAAAACGTATACAGAGCTAGATATTAGTATATAATTTCTGAGATGGGAAACTGTGGCTCAGGGAGATGAATTTGTCTTAAATATTTAATAACCAAAGGTTCAATGGCTCCCATGTGACGCCATGGTCTTGCTACTATGTGGTATTACTACTTTTGCACTTAAAGGCTGAGAGGATGAACTCAACAGACCCAGAAATGAAAGACTAGTTGGGAAATAATTTTCCTTGACCAATGGTTCTCAAATTTTAACATGCATCATAATCAGCTGGAAGTATTATAATGCCCCAGAGTTTCGGGTTATGTAAGTCAGGGAGGGGTCTAAGGATGTGTAATTTTAACAGATTTCTAAGTGATCCTGATGGTATGAGAACCACACTTGGAAAACCACTGACCTAGACATCGCCAGGCTCCCAGATGTTTTGAGAAATTGCCTTTAGAAATTCTCTTGTTTGGGGGACCAGAAGTTAGCGTAATGGCTATGTCGCTGGACTCCCATGTAGCTGAATGCAGTTTGAGTCCCGGACCCGTGGCTTAAACTCACACAGGACATGTGTGCGTGCGTGCCCAAGATCTCGAGAGGAGAATGGAGGAGAAGGGATTGCGGTGTGGCTGTCCCCCCTGGGGGGATTGCTGTTTGGCTGTCCCCCCTGTGGGGTTATTTCTCGCTTTCTATCTCTCTGTCTCTGTCTTTCTGGCAAGCGCACGCGCCCTATAGCAAAAACCTCTCCCCGCCAAAAAAAATATTCTCTTGTTAGCTAAGAGCACCCACATCTGTCTGTTCTAAACTCTCATTTCTCGAATGTGTTTTGCTGTCTTTTGTCTCTGGGCCTTTGTATTAGGTCTTTCTCTTGGACACCCAACCTCCTACCCCACTTTACCTTACGAATTCCTAGAATCCTTTAGGTCTTGTTTATACATGCTTGCTTATAGTTTACTTCCCCTGGAGAGGAATGATCCAACTTCTCTCCCCTCTAGTCTCTATAGCCTTTCTCTCAGTAGTTTAAAAGTTTTTCATTACCTTATCTATTGTGTCAGTCATTGGAGGAGTCACGACTTATTTTTCTACGCAAAAATGTGTCAAGACTGTTCCAACGACCCAATACTATGCTTTCAGAAACTAAAAGAAGTCTAACTAGGCTAGAGACCATCTTTTCAAGTTCTAGTACAGATAACTTTTAGGTGACCAGCAGGTGGTGTGGTGGTTAAGGTGCTTAGACTTCTACATGGCCGATTGCAGTTTGAGTCCTGGCAGTTTGCTTTCTTTCTCTATCACTCTCTCTCTTTCTCATGAGCACATGAGATCTACGGGGGGCGGGAAATAAGTAAAAAATAAATAATTATTTGGAAAAAAAATTTTTTTGGAGACATTTTTGCTATAGGGCATGTGCCTTCATCAGAGAGACAGAAAACAAGAAATTAACCCCCAGGGGGGATGGTCACACGGCAATCCCTTCTCTATTTCCTTCTCAGGATCTTGGGCGCACACACACACACACACACACACACCCCTGGCGTGAGTTTTAAGTTGCTGGGTCCAGCACTTGAACCATGGTGGACTATGTGGGAGTCCAGCGACTTAACTGCTAACACCATCTGCTGGTCCCAACTTTTAGGACCAGTTTATCTGAAGCCTCAAGAAGCAGAACTTTATAGAAAACGTGTACAAAGGGTCTTCCAAAAGTTCATGAAAAGTATATAGAATGAAAAACTATGCATGAATTTCCATTTATTTTTTGCATCAAAATAAAACCTATACTGTAATTCCATTTTTCCATGAACTTGAAAGACCCACACATACTTTGGTGTTATACTGAATTCAAATTCCAATCCAGGGTACCAACAGTTAGTGTAATGGCTATGTCATTGGACGCCCATGTAGTCGACCGTGGTTCGAGTCCCGGACACTGTGGCTTAAAATTCATGCTGGGTGCGTGTGCATGCATGACCAAGATCCTGAGAGGAGAAAGGAGGAGAGGGGATTGCGGCGTTGCCATTTCCCTTGGGGGGTGATTTCTCACTTTCTGTCTCTCTGTCTCTGTCTTTCTGGTGAGCGCATGTGCCCTATAGCAAAAAATAAATAAATAAATAAATAAAATTAAAAAAATCCAATCCAGCTGGGGCCAGCAGGTGGCATGATGATTAAGGTGTTGGACACCCACATGGCTAACACAGTTCAAGTCCTAGACCTGGCAGCTTGCTTTCTCAATTCTCTCTCTCTCTCTGGAGAGCCCACATGCCCTAGGGTAATTAAAAATAATAAAAATAAAAATATATAATTCGGGACCAGCAGTTAGCGTAATGGCTATGTCGCTGGACTCCCATGTAGTCAACAGTGGTTCAAGTCCCGGACCCGGTGGCTTAAAACTCACGCTGGACACGTGTGCATGCGTGCCCAAGATCCCGAGAGGAGAATGGAAGAGAAGGGGTTGCAGCGTGGCCATCCCCCCTGGGGGGTGATTTCTCACTTTCTGTCTGTCTCTGTCTGTCTGGCGAGCGCATGAGTCCTATACAAAAACTTCTTGGAAAAAAAAAATTCTTGGGAGAAAAATTCTAATCCATTTAGCTCTGTGACCCTGAAAAGAAGCAAACTTTTTTGTTTGTTTGTTTGATTTAGAGGTTTTTGCTATAGGGCACGTGCACTCACCAGAAAGACAGAGACAGAGAGATACAAAGCAAGAAATTACCCCCCAAGGGGAATAGACACACTGCAATCCCTTCTTCTCCATTCTCCTCTCAGGATCTTGGGCATGCACGCACACATGCCCAGCATGAGTTTAAGCCACCGGGTCCGGGACTCGAACCGCTGTCGACTACATGGGAGTTCATCGACATAGCCATGACACTGACTGCTGGTCCCAAGAAGCAAACTTTTTTGAGTATCACTTTAATCATCTAAGCAAAGGGGACAATGCTTGATGTTGAGTGTTAGGAATACTGTACAGTAAAGACCTAGCACACAGCCCAGCACATGACAGGCGTGCAGTGAGTGGAAGCGATTATAGTAGTACAACAGCCTTGGACCTGTGTTAACTTGCAAAGACTTTGTAAATCCTGTGACCTATCAATTATTTCATATATGTAAAGAAACATGTTTATTAAATGAATCTATATCTACAAATAAAGTATGACATATTTTACAGCATTCAGAAATTTTTTCTAACCATAATGAGATAATGCTTTTCAGGAAAAATTCATAGATTCATTAATAAAATTATAAGTTGGGGGCCAGCAGGTAGTGTGGCGGTTAAGGACGCTGGACTCCCACATGGCCAACCGTGGTTTGAGCCCTGGACCTGGCAGTTTGCTTTCTCACTTTCCCTCTCTCGTTCTGTCCCTCTCTGGTCAGATGAAAATAAATAAAGAATGAAAACAAGAATTACTTTATAAAAACAAACAAATAAATAAAATTACAAGTTCGTGTGTGGATAAAATTTTTAAAAATATAACCTGTAAAAAAGATAACTGACAAAACGAAAAATGTATTTAAAACTTTATAGTTATAAAAGTTTAGTGTCCTGGAGCCAGCAGGTCCTGGAGGTTGGGGCGCTGGACTGCCACATGGTCAACCCAGGTTCAAGTGCCAGACCTGGTGGCTTGCTTTCTCGCTTTCCCTCTCTCTCTCTCAAATCTGTCCAACTCTGGTCAAATTAAATAAATAAATAAATAAAACTGAATAAATAATTCTTTGAAGAAATAAATAAATAAAACTGAATAAATAATTTTTTGAAGATTCAGTTTTATTTATTTATTTATTTATTTATTTATTTTAATTTGACCAGAGAGAAATACAGATAGGGGAGGAGGGGGAACATGAGAAAGCAGGTCAACAGGTCCGGGACT